GTAAACAACCAGTAGAAAACTACCCTAGTAGTAGAATGTGTCTAAACTTGTAATAAAAACATGGAAAGTGTCTTTATGTGTAAAACACTCTTGTTAACATTGTTGATGGCAAAGTGATTTTGCTTGTAGCGATTTGAGGCTTGATTTCTTCTAGTTTTTTAGTTTTTTAGGCTTTTAGATTTCTTTTATTTTTCAGATTTAGATTTTTGGTTTGCTTTTTTGATTTTGATATAACTTTTCAAAGACACTTACTAGTTTATTTTAAAATAATTCAACAAAAATACCAATAAATTATTTAAAATTTATCATTAAAATGTATTTTGATTGTTATTTAAAAAGGAAAGATACATTAACTTATTTATTTTTAGAGTATTATATTTTGGAATCTAATAAATTATAAAAATATTTATAAATCATAACATAATTATTCATAATTTTTAAGACTTAAATGATTTTTTTTTTGTAAATGATATAATATAATATTAATTTAGATTTGATAAGAGATGGATTGGATATGATGGCTTTATGGAATCAATTGTTGCTGGCTGGACAAAAGAAAATAATGACCAGAGGATAGTTTGGTCACAAAATTAGTAATTTCCGGCATGAAATCGCAAAATGGAGAAAAAACAATACACCATACAGAAAAGAGAAAATTCAAGAACTCCAAAGGGCGCTTGAAGAAGTACAGATTGATGATAATCAGACACAAGAGGACATTTTGGAAGTGTCTAGGAAATTACAGGATGCATACAAGGATGAAGAGGATTACTGATATCAAAAGAGCCGTAATATGTGGTACTCTTTGGGAGATCTTAATACCAAGTTTTATCATGATTTAACAAAACAAAGGCGGGTGCGTAATAAAATAGTGGAGATACATGATGATGTTGGAAATTGGATAACAGAGGAAAATTGGGTGGAACAAGTAGCAGTGGACTATTTTGAGAGTTTATTTACTTCTACTTCCCCATCTGACTTTGATAGCTTCCTAGAGGAAGTTCCCTCAAATATCACAACTCAAATGAATCAAAGATTGTTAAGAACGGCCACAGTGGAGGAGGTTAGACAAGCTTTATTTATGATGCATCCAGAGAAGGCACCACGACCTGACGAAATGACATCGCTTTTTTTTTCTAGCACTCCTGGCATGTTATTAAAAATGATCTAGTAGAGATGGTGAATAATTTGTTGGTTTCAGGAGTATTGGATGCTCGTTTAAATATTACTCATATTTTTATGATCCCGAATATGGAGAGACGCACAAGGATGACAGAGCTTAGACCGATAAGCCTTTGTAATGTTGGATATAAGATCATCTCAAAAGTATTATGTAAACGGTTGAAAAGCTGTTTGCTCAGGCTAATCTCGAAAACCCTATCGGCCTTTGTTCCAGGGAGGTTAATTTCAGATAATATTCTAATTGCCCAGGAGATGTTTCATGGCTTAAGAGCCAATATATCTTGTCAGGGAAAGTTTATGGCGATAAAAGCAGACATGAGTAAACCGTATGATAGGGTGGAATGAGATTTTATTCAAGCTTTGCTCCACAAGATAGGTTTTGACCCTCATTGGACAAAGCTTATGATGGAATGTATATCGTCTGTCCAGTATCGAGTACCGATAAATGGTCAACCTCAGGGTTCCATTATCCCGCAGAGAGGCTTAAGACAAGGGGATCCTTTGTCTCCTTACCTATTTATTATGTGTACGAAGACTTTAATTACAAATATTAAAAAGGCAGAGCAACATAAGCGATTAACAGGGATGAATGTTGCTAGAGCGTGTCCAGCGATTTCTCATCTTCTTTTTGCGGATGATAGTCTTTTCTTTTGCAATGCGCAACCGGAGGAGTGTCAAACCATACTCACCATACTTAAAAAATATGAGACTGTTTCAGAGCAGTTAATAAATTTCCAGAAGTCTTCAATTCAGTTTGACCATAGGATTGGAGAAGAGAACATACAAGAGCTAAGGAATATACTAGAAATTCAGAATATAGGTGTATGGTATCATATCTAGGCCTACTAGAGAGTCTGAACGGGTCTAAAATACATGTATTTGGATTTGTCTAGGAAAGATTAAATAAAACGGTCAAGGGATGGACCTTTAGATTTTTTACGAAGGGAGGGAAGGAAGTGATTATCAAATCAGTGGTTACGGTGTTACCAAATTATGTGATGTCCTGCTATAGGTTACCTAAGGCAACTACAAAAAAAACGAACGAGTGCAATAGCCCAATTTCGGTGGAGCCCTAGAGGAAACACAAGAGGAATGCATTGGAAATCATGGAATAAGTTATGCCTAGAAAAGGATGAAGGAGGCTTGGGTTTTAAGGACCTCGAGGATTTCAACACGGCAATGTTAGGCAAACAACTATGGCGTCTTATTGAGAAACCAAATACCTTGTTTTCTTGTGTTTTCAAAGGTCGGTACTATAGGAATGCGTCACCTCTGGAACCGATCCGATCATATTCTCCGTCATATGGCTGGAGGAGTATGATCTCAGCTAGATCTCTGGTTAGCAAAGGACTTATCAAACGGGTGTGATCAGGATCATCTATCTCAGTCTGGAATGATCCATGACTCCCAACCACTCGCCCGAGACCAGCAAATAAAAACCAACGTAACTTTTCTCTAAAACTCACAGTAGATTCTCTCATCAATACAGACACGCAGACTTGGAATATGCCGGTTATTAGAGCTCTAGTAGACCCCCAAGATGCGAAAATAATAGAAAGCATTCCACTTGGTAGAATACATATGGAAGATAGGGACATATGTCATTTCACCAAGAACAGAAAATACACTGTTAAGTCAGGATATCAAGTTGAATGGGTGTACCCAGATAGAGGAATGCCGACTGAGATTCAGGGACCTACAGTGGATGGAAGGACTGTGGTGCCTCCTTTGGCAACACAACCAAAACACATTTCTTGTGCTCAGTCGTGCGGGAAGGCTAGTAAGACCTCTCCCCACCGAGGTCTGCTGCTATTGAATCACCTGTAGTTGAATATGTAGATTTTTTCTTCTACTAGTGAAGAAGATTGCATGGTTGAAGCAAAATTGATATTTCTCGAGGTATTTCTTACTCGACTAAAAGGAGAGGGTGAAAGCTTTCGTTTAAATGTAAAGGGAAGGGAGGAGGACATGTAGATCTTATCATGTGTGCAGTAAGTATGAAGAAGAGAGCCGCGTAAGTTAGTTCATTCTATATCAGAGGGCAAAACTGTAAGAAAAAGTTGCTCAAACCCGTCTTTTTCCGGTGTCCTCCCAAGATAAAATATTTCTTATGACAATCGCTATCATGATGTATTGCTGTTAAAAAAAATCTGCAGACAAGAGGGATAAATGGTGATATATGTTGTGACAGATGTGGAGCTGCAGAAGAATCGGTTAACCATATTTCTTTGAATGCTCACCAGCACGCCAAGTTTTGGCATTGTCAAAGATCCCTTTGAACCCGGTAACTTTCCTTACGGTGTCTCTGTGTACGAATATGAATCATTTATTTTGGCGGGTTATTCCTATGATGGATGATCATCACTTTGCATGGATATTGTGGTACATTTGGAAAGGGCGAAATATAAATTTTTTTAGTAATTTGGACGTTGATCCGAAGGACACACTTACATTGACGGAGAAAAAATCCACTCTCTGGGAGGAGGCCCAAATGAGAGTATCTCAGAGTCAAACACAGTCATGGGTAGTTGCGACCATACAGCCCATAGCAGGGCGTTTGTGTTTTATTGATGGTTCATGGAAGGATAAGGATGTGTTTGATGGCCATGGTTGGTATAGTACACTCGAAGATTTTGTGGGTTTAATGGGAGCAAAAATGTTAGAGCTAGCTTATCACCTTTTCATTCTAAGGTGGAAACACTTATATGGACAATGGAGAGTATGAGAAATTTGCGTTAATACCATGTTACGTTTACAATAGATTGTTCCCAATTGGTGAAGATAGTGTCGGAACCAGATGAATGGCCAGCTTTTGCAAATTATCTTGAAAATATCAAGACGCTTAAAAGGAATTTCCATAGCTCAGCAATCATCTATGTATGAAGAACATTGAATTCACAGATGGATAGTCTAGCACGCAGTGCTAAAAGACAATCGTCTTTTGTTGTTCACATGGATACAGAGCTACCGGTTTAGTTTGTAGAGTCAATATGAGTTTATTAGTCAATGTCAAAAAAATATAATATAATATATAAATAGAAAATAATGTTTTGTTAAGATTTAATTATTATTTATTTATCTAAAACTATTAACGTAATTTATAACGTTACTAATGTTATTTATAATTTTAGGAGGAAAAGGATAGTTAGGGTCTGACTTGTTTTCCCGCCATCACCCGTAAACGCAGTTTTTGTGGTTGGTAACGGTTGTTGGTGTTTTGCAACAATCACAGAAAACGTTATAAACCGCTTCAAATCGCTGTGAATCTCTAAAATTCAAAAACTGGTTCTAGCGAGCGTTTGCGGTTGCGGGAGGATAAAAAATATCTTTTTTCAAAAAAATATAAAAATAAAATATTCAATTAAACTTTTCAATTAAAATAATTGAAATACTAAAATATTTATATAATATTTTTAATTTATTATTTAGCCGCTGTTGTATTTGATGATAAACCAATTATAAGTATCCCGCAAACATATAAATTTTTAACCATTAAATCAGTCGTATAAATTTTTTAACCATTAATTAAAACCATAATCTCCCGCATCCGTAAACGCCCGTAACTACAATCGCAATCACTGCATTGTAACGAGCAAGGCCTTAAGTCAATTGTATTTTCAAGAAAACAAACATTCGTGGAAAAAACTACTGATCAGAAATGAATGTACATTGAATTTAAAATGGTTGGTTGTTACTATAGGAAACGACTTCGTCTCTTCGAGGTAACCAAGAAGAAAAGAACCGAACCCTTCCTTCTTCATTCCTCTTTGTTCATTTTAAAAATCATTTAATTAGGAAAGTAAGTTCAATCAGCACTTCATTCTTGAAATAGAAAACCAAAATGTTAAGAGTCAAGAGAAAGACTTCACCTCTCCCCTATAAAAGTCTTTAGGAGATCGTGGGGTGTAAATTACTTGAAGTATCTTCCTCGTCTTAACCACCCAAGAGAGAAAGTAGAGATGGATATACTTATCGGAGAGACTGACAATTACGATGGCGTTACTGTAACCATGGAGGAACCAATGGATGCTGAAGTTTTCACCCATAGGCTCAGGGCTTCGCTTTCCCATTGGAGACAAGAGGTTCCTTACACCACTTTCTCAGATTTCAAACCCTTTGATTGTGCTCTCAAGTCTTGATTTTTTTGTTGTTTTGAAAATTGGCAGGGGAAGAAGGGGATTTGGATAAAGCTACCTCTTGCTTTTGCTAATCTTGTCGAGTCTGCTGTTACTGTAAGAGATCCTTTTTGTTTTTGTTTTTGATAAATCTTTTATTTTTCTTGATTTGTTTGTTTGTTGACTTTTTGGTAATAGGTTTGTTTTCAATGTGTTTCAGGAAGGGTTTAGATATCATCACGCAGAGCCTGAGTACTTGATGCTTGTGTCTTGGATCTCTAGCTCCCCTGACACAATCCCTGCCAATGCTTCTCACATTGTTGGTGTTGGTGCTTTGGTCATCAACAAAACCACTCGAGAGGTACCCAAAATTTATCCCCTTCTTCTTCTTCTTTGAAAAGACTCAAGGAACAGCAGACATCACATCACATATTCATTTTCTTTTATCAATGATCGCAGGTACTCGTTGTCCAAGAAAAGAGTGGTTATTTCAGAGATAAAAATGTGTGGAAGTTGCCTACTGGTGTTGTCCACGAGGTGATTTACATCACTTCTTCTATCTCTGTCATGGTTAGGATCGTAATTTACTGATAACCCCTAATGAGTGAACCGGGTTTATTCTCATGTCGTGTGATTCAAACATCCCCTTGCCATCCAACGAGAAACTGATAAACTTTCGAAGAAATCTAGCGGCTTTAATCTTACAGACATATCTACTATATGATATAGTCTTATATCTAAAGGCTTCTAGGAGAGTTGAGAGTCTTTTGTTAATCAAGTCTATCTTGTTAGTGAATTGAAGTAAAATAGTTCGTAACAGAGTCATAAAAGTTTTTACCGTAAACTTTTTAATGCCATAAACGTTCCGTCTCTTCACGACTTAGCTAGTTTATTTGGTAGTGTATAGTGTCAAATATTGGTCCCTGGGAAAATGATTTGATGATATCAAGTTTGAAACTAAAAATGGAGAATGGTTAAAATGAAGTTCTGATCTCAGTCTTTTTTTGTTTTGCTACCTTTACAGGGTGAGGATATTTGCGATGGAGTAGCTAGAGAAGTAGAAGAAGAAACTGGTGTATGTATCTAATGATTTCAGAATCTTTTTTGATGGATCCTGTATTAATTTTTCCACTATATTCTAAAATGTGTGCTCTTTTTATTGGATTTTTTCTGTTACTTCAGATTATCGCAGATTTTGTTGAAGTGTTGTCTTTCAGGTAAAAATCATGTTTTCATTCATTTCACCTGGCTTACCTCATCAGTTCCTGGTTGGTTTACTCTCTTATAGGCAAAGCCACAAAGCATTCTTGAAACAGAAAACGGATCTGTTTTTCCTGTGTGTCTTGAGTCCACGCTCCTACGAAATCACTGAGCAAAAATCTGAGATCTTGGAAGCTAAGGTATATTACCATAACCTTTCTAAACTTCAACTGTTGATGATGAGTCAAATAAATGTTACTGTCACTGCTTATTGTTATCAACTAAACAGAGAACATATGGTTTTGTTTTTGTAGTGGATGCCGATCAAAGAATACGTAGAGCAGCCATGGAACCAGAAGAAGGAGATGTTCAAGATCATGGCTGACATCTGTCAGAAGAAATGTGATGAAGACTACGTGGGATTCTCCACTGTAGAAACGGTCACAGGATCCGGTAAAAAGAGCTTTGTCTACTGCAATGCTGATCACGCCAAGAACCTTGTCGCAACGCGTGACCAAGCATCATCCTCTTCTCTCTGAATACCATTCTCATGGATCTCAGCATTTGTCATTATTGTGCGTCTTTGGATTTGTATTTTAATTGAATAAAGAACCATCTTTTTTTTTTTTTTTATCAAAGAATAAAGAACCATCTTTCTGGGACAAATGCATCATCCTTTGGCACTTCCTTAACCCGTTTTAAATTCTCAGCTTTATATGTTTGATGGTTACTTCTCGTTTGTTTAATCCACTTTCATTTGATTTCCCGGGCTTTATTTATCCGATATTATTAAACAAGAACATACATATGAAATGTAAAGGTTAAAAACACACCGGAGTTAATCCGTTTTTATTTATTGAAATAAAGTAGATTTTAATTTTAGAGGAACTTTTGAAAGAAGCTGTGAATGTGTTGATTGATCTCCTCAGGGCTTTCCTCGTGGAGGAAATGCCCCACTCCCTTGAGCACAACGGTTTCATCAAGCAACGGTACGTCTTTCTTGAATCCCCCACCGTTAATGTACTCCTTAGCCCCCGGCGAATTGTACGTCAAATCCTGATCTCCAACTATGAACTTCACCGGTACACGAATCTTAGCACCGGTCCAAGGAGCAGTCAGCTCCCAGTTTCTGTTTTTTTTTTTTTTTTAAAAAACCCGAAATGTAGACCAGTTATCTGTAATTATACTACTTGAACGGGGGTGATAAACGTACCGGTCAAGGTTGCGGTAGTAGTTAATTGGTCCAGTGAAGCCTTTGTTCTCGTACTTGGTGACATAGTAGTCTAGGTCTTCTTGTGTTAGCCACGATGGTAACGCAGACACATCGTTTTCTGAGCTTTTGAAAAGTTTGCCTTTGGGGAGGTAAAGCGGTCCAGGCGTTTTGTAGGTTAAGAATTCTTTCAACACCTTCTCTGTTCCCAGCTTCTGAAACTCTTCTTCTACCTCTCCAGGTTTCTTGATCGCATAAGCAAATCAAAACATTTAAAACCAACAAAAAACAAATTATTACACCGGTTTGATTTTTATCCAGTCTTGATTTTGGTTTCATCATCAGACGGACCCGGTTTACTTTTGTATAATTTGATTTTGGTTCGGTTTGGTTTAATACAGATCGACAACTTTTAAGACAATCCCAATGAAATTACGTGAAACCTTCAGATATCATAAACGTCACCAAAGAAATCAAACATTTAAAACCAGTAGAAAAAGATAATCACTACACCGTTGTGAGATTGATTTGGTTTTGATTTTGGGTTCATCACAGAAGGACCCGGTTTAGTTTTGTCATATTTGATTGTGTTCGGTTTGGTGTAATATAGGTATTTTTTTTTTTTTTTTTTTTTTTT